ATCTATCTATCTATCTATCTATCTATCTATCTATCTATCTATCTATCTATCTATCTATCTATCTATCTATCTATCTATCTATCTATCTATAAAAACTTTGTTTCTGTCTCTGTTTAAGTGGCAGGCCATCTCTCTGACTGTGATTGAGAGGGTGCAGATTGCCGCCATTGTCCTGGGCTCTCTGTTCCTCTTTGCCAGTATCTCCTGGTTGGTGTGGTCCTCACTCAGCCCCTCGGCGAAGTGGCAGCGACAGGACCTCCTGTTTCAGATCTGCTACAGCATGTATGGCTTCATGGACGTAGTTTGTGTAGGTGAGGGAACTTTGTGTTCTGTCACCCTGTGTCTTTTAAAGGTGTTCATACCTTTTGAAGTTTGAAGAGTTATGATAGACCTTTTGGAAACAAACAGCATAATTTGGACTCAGGATGTCTTTCTCACTCAAAAAAAAAAGTCTAGATTTGTTTACCAGTCTAAGTCTCCATTTAAGGACCAAGTAGCTCATGACTATTTATCTTTCTTTTTTTTATGGATTGAGCAGTAAATCTCCAAAGCACACTTCTGGTACAGGCTGTACTTTCTGTACTCTTCTCTAATTGTTGTTGAACAAACACTTGTTTGTCTGTTTATAAGACTATTTCCTGACCCAGTCTCCCCCAACCCTTTGTCCCTTAACACCCAGGACTAATAATCCACGAAGGATCATCTGTTTACCGGATCTTTAAGCGCTGGCGGGCAGTGAACCAGCAGTGGAAAGTGCTGAATTATGAGAAAGCCAAGGATTTGGGTGACTCCAGTGGTTCCAACGATAAATCTGTCAGTCAGGTTGAGAGAAACTTTTCAGACGGAGTCACAGTCGACGGACAGAGAACAAGTCGGCATGTCAGGGCTATCCTCACCCACCACTGTGGCTACACTATACTGCACATCCTAAGCCAGCTGAGGCCCTCCAACCTGCATGGGGCCAACCAGGAGATGGTCATGAGAGTCACCACGGTGTAAAGCCAAGTCCTAATCAGAACAGTGCTTCGGCCATGGCAGACGGGGAAATAAAAGTGCTGATAACAACAAATCCTAATGTGCCATAAATAAAACAGCTATGTAAAGTGACAACATATGTTCTCAGGTTTTAACTGAGCCTTGAGGATTCATCTCTTTCTGACCAGACCATTACAGTGAGGTGTAGAACATAGGGGCTGCTGGCTATAAACACATTTATAGAAAGAAAAAAACAACCATTCACTGAGAAATACTGATATCTAAAGTATCCCAGTCTCAATTAGAGCTAAAAATGAAAGTAAAAATTAAGTATAATTTAATTTTACTTTGTATTTAATGTCCCATTAAATACAAAAAAGTCCCTTTCTTTTTCCCTTCATCCCTGTTATTCCTTATTTCCTGCCTCTAGTTTTTCCTTCCTTCCTTCCTTCCTTCCTTCCTTCCTTCCTTCCTTCCTTCCTTCCTTCCTTC